ATAGTGATCAATTTGTATGAATGAGCGCGACTGCGCTATCGAATTCAGGTAGCATCTAAGGTGCTTCAGCAGTTCGCATGACCTTTACTCTAGAGTTTGAGTTCAAACTCTAGAGTGCCGTACTCAACCCGTACATCTTGATTGCATCATCAAAATAAGTTTCATTTTTCTGATTTCCAACGTTCTTCAAATTTTAGACGACACTCAGTAGAGTTGAACTAGCGTTTTTGACAAATTTCGCTGCTCCCATTTAATAGCATTCACTCGCTCTTCATCATAAATGTGTAATTCTTTAGATTTTCTGTTCCTGCACGGAAACTTCAAAGACACACGAAGTCTCATACAGGTTCTCCCAGTTCTTTCAGAGGAAACACGAATTCTTTCAGTAAATGAACGGTCAGTTTACTACGACAATACAGTGTCTCATATGCATACAATAAAGTATCATGAATATTATGCAACTATCATGTAAATATCATGAACACGCGCTATAAAGTTGGAACTTTGAATGTGAAAAGGAGATGAGAATAACAACAGCATCGCAGCTTTATTGATGTTCATCGTGATAATTTATCAAATAAGCGAACGAAATTTATTCAGTACCCAAATCAAAACATCATATTCAGTCAACAGAAGCAAACTCTACCACAGCTATGGTTCCAGTTTATGTTCGTAATACATTCAGTGGGTTTTGTGAAGGTAATTGAAGAGAATTAAGCAAGAAAACTATTGGTTGTTACCTTTTCACCATCAAGCAACGGTATGGCGTCTTTCAGCGACATAAAATGATCCTTAATATGATCACGACGTCTCCGTTCAAGCTCATTGTGATGCGCTCGGCGGTCACCGTCCATTTGAGGTGATAGTGATTTTGGACTTGACGAGTCATCCTGAAAAATCTCAAAATTCGTTTCATTCTTTAATTTTTATTAAAATCAATTGTTGAGTTGTTTTGCCGATGTAATTCTCTTGAAATGAATCGTCATATTGCAAGGGTACAGCGCACGCTAAAATAGTCAGTCACGTTTGCTCAGCCTGACTGAACAAGCCATGGATGATTGGGTTTCAATCTGATTACATCTCAAATGGTTTTAACTGAAAGTGAGTTTGTTTCATTTATTTTATTTTATTTTATTTTATGGCTATTGATCATTCATTGCTTTTGCTAATGTTTTGTGTATTGCTTAATTTTCATAATGAATTGCATAGAATTGCATTTGCAAGACGCACGTCTGAGTACTCCACCTCACTGAGACATTGTATTTTCTGATTCGGATCGCTGCCCTCGAAACTTCGTCGTTTTCTCGGGATTTTAGCGATTGTAATTGCAGACGGAGCCATTTCTGCAACAAATCGTTTCCATTAATTTGACATTTTCACATTTTATTGAATTTCATATTTATATTCAAACGCAATTTGTTGAAACATAAATACAAATACAAGTATAATACAACGCGAAAAGTAAAACGCAATGCATATACGCGCACACTCTATTGAAACAATATTAATATATACAGTAATCCTTAGACACATAATTAGTTTACTTGAATGTATTTGTCATCTTCATCAATACTTTTATGGTAAATGCCCAGCAGACAAGGAAGTGAGAATAGAACTAGTAATTGCTAGAGAAGGTCATCCAGTAGTTTCGGAAAAGGAATTTAGATTTCATTCGAAGACCTTTTCAATTAATTGCTTCGTCGCTCATATGAGATTAAATTTTACTTTTAATAAAATCAAGAAGAACAGAAAAAGTAGTGATAATTGCTAGAAAAAAACATCGAATTAAACGTTCGCATTTGAGAGGCTAATGAAAGTGATCCGTACCAAATGAGGAACTAAACTGCTCGCGCAATTACGATGGAAATCTCTACATCACGAGAAA